AGTCTCAATTCTCTTATTGCAAAAATAAGGTTGACATTTTGCATGGTTGCTCTGGAGATTAGATATACATGAAGGGCCCAGCAGTCTGTTTGAGGCAGTTTCTTTAGTACCATGAATGAATGATGGAGAGAGGCTCTTGACGTTGGCAGTATTTCCAAAATTGATAACAGAACCCCCCCAAACCGTGGAGTCCCTGTAAGATTCCAACCCCTGCTTCTACATCTCTCTCCTGCCATCATCTTCCCATCAGCTCTGCCCAGCGTGTGGTGGAGCTATTGCTGTGAGCTGCACCATCCTCTCTGCACCTCTAATCTCTCCTTTTCTGGCAATCTGTCCTTCTGTCCACAGGGAAGCAAGTCTCATGTTGGGGCAGTTAGTGGAAACAAACTAAAGCACTTTATGTTTATACCCCCAAGGAATCTATATCCCTAAATCTAGGTAACACTGCAGAGCGAGTAGCACAGCACACAGTTTCTGGTCCAGAATGAGCGGTGGACAAGTGGTAATTCTCCAACCTATGTCCGAGTCAAAAGTTAGTGCTGATTTCGGAGGCCTGCTCAGAGGTTCCCAACACAACCATTACACACACAGGACCCACCATGACAGCACAGGTCTCCACCTCCCATGGACTCCATCTGTGAAGATACAGCCCTGCCTCTCTTTAGAAGGAGGCTGCCTATTCTAGAAGGGGCAGAGGACACAGGGAGTGACCTGAAGCCACTCGGGAGGTCACAGCTAGGTGAGCTGGGCTGTTACATGCACAGTAAATATGAGGGTTGGGAGAGAGAACAAATGCACTTACTTTTGAATGAGTGAGCTGTTGAGGGAAGTTTTCATCATTTCCTCTTAAGAGATGAACCACAAGCAAAGGATATTTGTCATCCACATGACATGAAACCTCCTATAAAGCTAGTCCCAAATACTGGCTGCGAAATGGCAGTGACTTTGGGGGTTTCAGTTCCATGTGTCTGTCCTGTATCTCAATGGATCAGTTGAAAGATTGAAATTATTATTGTGAGATTGTATTAGCAAGCTATTTAGAGATGTTAGAGATATAGAAACAAAATCAGTCTTGCCTAAATGTAGTCAAAGATACATGTGTGTGAAGCAACAGACAAATTCTAGTATCATAATAACAAGGGTCTTACAACTGAAAATGCTTGCAAATATTTGGATGGCATTAATATATTGGTTGCCATTACTTTTTTAATTTAGATATCCATGGGGTGTCCTACCATGCTGTTTGATTCACAATGACTAGAGAGAAAAAATTAATTAGAAATTAAAGTAAAACCAACAGATCCACTTTTTCCAAAGTATAAAAGCCAATTGTACAAGAACAAAAACACCCAGTGTATTTAGAAACCTCTTAAATTTGAGCTTCTAAGCTGTTCATGTGAAATGAAATCTATTATCCATCTAGCAACACATAAATGCATTCATTCATCTGTCTATTCACCCCTCTATCTGCTTATCTACTTATATCTTTCTCCCTGTAACTATTAGCTTCCCTTGTGTGGGATGATCCTACTCTGACATTTCAATAATTTTATGAATTGATAATAGGATATCTAGCCAGTTTCAAAAAGATGATCCAAAGATCATTTGTTTCTCCCTTTTTTTTGCCAATTCTTACCCTGGGCAGGAAGTGGCTACACAGAGTTGAATAACACAAGGTGTGTCCCTGGTCTCTGAGATGGGGCTTCTGGCACTGGGTCTGCTTCTAGTAGTACTGGGCAGCTTAGGGTGTCAGGATGGACCCTGAGCCATGCAACATACTCTGCCTTCTATAACCGAGAGCAAGGGTCCCTGCCAGGGCCCCAGGGAGAAGCACAGAGAGGGTGGAAGCTCACCGTGCCCCATCTGGCCCTGGGGCACTGCCTCAGGACCCAGGCTTGCTGGGGAGTACATTATCCCAGTCAGCCCTTACTTTACCCTGAGGTGATTAATGGGCAGGCTCAGAGCCAAAGGGCCCTTTGAAGAGAGGCTCCTTAATGGAGGAGTTCTCTGTATCCAGCTCTGCGTTGCTTCCTCATTACCATTCATCAGAGCTGGGAGGGCTTCTTCTCACAGTGTGGGTGGGCTGTGAGCAGCAGGAACAGCTGGGCCCAACTGGCTGGATCTCCCGTCTGCTGGAAGGACCCCTTCCTGTCCAGGATTCTCTCTAACCCATGCTCAGTGTGATTAGCTTCCCTGAGCTGAATTTTATCTTAGAGTAGAAGAAAACCAAAAGGCGGCCCAGGTTTTGGATGTTCAGGGGAATCTCGTGACCAGAATCAGTGAGGGTCTAGATTTGAACTATTTCAACTTGAGAGCCAGTTTACTGTTTATCTATATTGCCCAGAGGTTTGATATATGGTAGGCACTCAATATGCACATACAGTGAGTGAACAAATGAATGAATACTTCAGTAAGCACACGGACATAGCTTAAATCAGTCACAAACGACTAATACCGACCACAGACAAATGGAAATTTACTAATTGTTTATGCCCATGGGATAGGGTTGCCAAATATAATATAGGACTATGCGGTATTTGGGACATATATATACTAAAAACTATTTGTTGTTTATCTGAAGCTCAAATTTTACTGGGGATCCTGCAATTTTATTTGCTAAATCTAGAAAACCTACCATGGGGAGAAGCCATTGATAAACATCTCAGATGAGTGCATAGGCTTCCGTGATCTCAGTTCATCTCTTTTTAATGAAGATTTCAACTCAAGCACAGTAGACCATTTTTCTGACATGCCAGCTTGTGAACAGCTCTTCCCTGTGGTACACAACATCCCCCTGGCAACACACAAGGGAGGCATACACATTGGACCACAGCAGTGCTCAGTTGCTACCTATTTGGATGTCTTTCCAGGGGTAGAAATGGGTTGTGTGGGGTTGTAAAGTAACAAAGTCACAGACTTCCAATGTGGGACGAGCCAGCAGGCATAGTGAGAGGAACAGAAGTAGAATATGGAGTCCCAACTGTTTTGTAAAGTTTTTTTAAAAAATGATTTTTTAATATGTCTACAGTAAAATTGCCTCTTTGTGCACAGTTCTCTAAGCTTTAACAGATGTATAGATTCATGTAACCACCACCACTGTTAGGGTGCAGGCAGTGACATCACCCCAGAAAACTAATGCGCCTTTCCCTTCTAGTCAAGCCTTTTCCCCACCCCTAATCCCTACAACCACAGATCTGTCTTGCATCTAAAGTTACGGATTTTTTAGAAGGTCACATAAATGAAGTCATTCCATTCATGTAGACTTTTGAGATTTTTTTTTTAATTAGGCAAAGTGCTTTAGGGTTCATCCAAATTGTTGCATGTATCAATAGACTTTGTGCTTAGTAGTATTCCATTACTACAGTCCTCACTTTCCACAAGTGATATGTTCTAAGACCCCCATTGAATGCCTGAAACCACTAGAGTATACTATGTTTTTCCTATAGGAAAACATGCTTATGATAAAGTTTAATTTATGAGTTAGGCACGGTAAGAGATGTACGGCAATAATTCATCACAAAATAGAAAAATTTCAACAATATACTACTCACAGCTTCACAGATAAAAGATTCATTCTTGCTGTAGATGTTAGCCACCTCAACATATGATTTATTTTCTTTCCCAAGTCAAGAACTTTTACCTTTTCACTTAAAGAAAGCACGTTAAGGCTTCTCTCCCTTTGGCATACCTGAATTGGCAGCATCACAGTCACTATTAGGACAGCTACTAAGTGACTAATGGGCAAATCGTGTTTACAGACTGGATCCACTGGACAAAGGGATGATTCAAGGTCCGGGTGGAATGCAGCAGGGTGGCCTGAGATTTCCTCATACTAGTCAGAACAGCAAGCAATTCAAAATGTATAAATTTCTTATTTCTGGAGTTTTCCATTTAACATTTCCAGTCTGCAGAACTAAACACGTGGAAATGGAAACAGCAGATAAGGGGAACTACTGTACAGTATTAGGAATCAACCCACTGAAGGACGTTTATTATTTTCCTGTTTGAGACAATTATGAATAGAGCAGCTATAAACACATGTGAACAAGTTTTAGCGTGAACACAGAAATTTTACTTTTCTAGAGTAAATACTCAGCTGGGGAAATGCCAGATCATATAATAGCTATATGGTTAATTTTATAAGAAATTTCCCAAGTGTTTTCTAAGGGACTGTACCATTTTGCTTTCCCATCAGCAAGGAATGAGAATTCTAGTTGCAGTACCTCCTTACCAAAACTTCGTACTATTGATTTTTGTGTTTGTACATTTCTATGGTAAATTTATCTTTAAATATTCTGGACATTAAAAAAATTGTATTGTTTGCTTTCTTACTGCTGAGTTGAAAAGCTCTTTATAGATTTTGGATACCAGCTATCTATGGTATAAGAGATTTGCACTGTTTCTTAGTCTGTAGCTTGTCACTTCATACTCAACTTTTTTTTTTTTTCACAGAGTTCTTTTTTTTTTTTTTGAGACAGAGTCTTACTCCATCACCAGGCGCCAGGCTGGAGTGCAGTAGCGTGACCTCGGCTCACTGCAACCTCTGCCTCCCGGGTTCAAGCAATTCTCCTGCCTCAGCCTCCCGATTAGGTGGGACTACAGGCACACGCCACCATGCCCAGCTAACTTTTTTGTATTTTTAGTAAAGACAGGGGTTCACCATGTTGGCCAGGATGGTCTCGATCTCTTGATCTCGTGATCCGCCCACCTCGGCCTCCCAAAGTGCTGGGATTACAGCCGTGAACCACCGTGCACGGACTTCACAGAGTTCTTAATTTTGTTCAACTCATTAATGCTATCTTTTTTTTCCCCCATTTATTTATTTTATTGCATTTTAGGTTTTGGGGTACATGTGAAGAACATGCAAGATTGTTGCATAGGTACACACGTGGCAGTGTGATTTTCTGCCTTCCTCCCCATCACCTACATCTGGCATTTCTCCCCTTGCTATCTCTCCCCAGCTCCCCACTCCCCACCGTCCCTCCCCTATTTCCCCTCAACTGCTATTTTTTGTAAACTGTGCTTTTGACTAACTCAAAGTCATGACTTTGTTCTTCATTTTCTTTTCAGTTTTATGGTTTTACATTTTACATTCAAATCTATGATCCATTTTGAGTTAATGTGAATTAATTAGGCCAAGGTTCAATTTTTTGCATATAAATAACCAATTTCAACAATATTTGCTGAAAAGGTCATTGTTTCTCTATTGAACTTTGTTTGACTTTTTGTCAAAAATCAGTTGACCATTTAGCCATGTTTGTGTAGATCTACTTCTGGACTTTACTTTCCGTTCCATTGACCTATGTACCTGTCCCATCACCAATACCACATGCTGTAAATTTTAAAATTGGGAAGCATAATCCCAACTCTATTACTCTTTTTCAAAATTATTTTTCATTTCTAGTTTTTTTCCTTTGATATAAATTTTAAAATCTATTAATTCATATGTGTAAAAAATCCTGCTGTAATCTTGATTAGACCAATTTGGGAAGAATTGACATTAAGTCATCCAATTCATGGACAGGGTATGTTTCTCCATTTATTTAGATCTTCTTTGCTTTCTTACATCAGTATTTTATAATTTTTATTATAAAAATGCTGCATGTTTTTGTTACTTATGTGAAATATGGAAGTATTTTATTTTTTGGAGCATTATTATTTTTCAAAATTCAGTTTCCAATTGTTAATAGCTCATATATGGAAATGCAATGGGGGTTTTGTGTGCTAACCTTATAACCTATGACCTTGTTAAACTCACTTATTAGTTCCAAGAGTGCTTTTTAAATTCTGTGGGATTCTCTATCTGGACAGTCATGTCATCTGTGCATAGGAACGGTTTTATTTCATTCTTTTCTGTCTGCATGCCTTTTATTTTTTTGCATTATTACAATGGTTAGAATTTCCAAAGTATTATTGAACAGACATAGAGTGTGTTCTCTTACCTTATTCTGAAACTTCAAAGAAGAACCTTCAGTCCTTCACCAAATATGATATTAGCTCTAATTTTTTTTGTGGATGGTCCTGTAGCCAGATAAGGAAGAACCTTTCTATTACCAGTTTGCTGAGAGTTTTTAATAACTAATGGATGTTAAATTTGTCAGATGTTTTTTCTGCATAAATTTATAAGGTATTTTTTTCTTTTCAGTCTGTTAATATAGTACATTAACTGATTTCCAAGTATTGAGTAAGCTTGAGTTGTCAATTCTTTTTATATGTTACTGGATTCAATTTGCTAATATTATGTTGAAGATTTTTATAATTACGTTCAAAAAGGTTATTGGTCTGAAGATCTCTTTCTTATATTGTCTTTGTGTGATTTTAGCATCAGGGTAATGCTGACATCAGAAAAGTTGAGAATTGTTCTCTAGTCTATTTTTTTGAAAAAGATCATGTCAAATTGCTAGTATGTCTTTGTAATTGTCTGAATGCTTGTGTCCCCTGAAAATCTCTGTGCTGAAACTCTAACCTCCAATGTGATGGTATTAGAAAGTGAGGCATTTGAGAGGAAATTAGATCAAGAGGGTGGAGACTTCATAGATGAAATTTGTACCCTTACCAAAAGGGTCCCAGACAACTGTTTTGCTCTCTTTCTACCATGTGATGTCATAGCAATCAAACACCTATGAACCAGGTAGCATGCTCTTAACACATGCCAAATCTGCCAATGACTTGATTTGGACTTCCCAGCCTCTGGAACAGAGAGAAATAAATTTACATTGTTTATAAGCCACCTAGTCTGTGGTACTTTGTTACTGTAACCTGAGTGGACCAAGACAGTCTTCTTTAAATGTTTGATGGAATTTAGCAATTCTACCAACATTCTATTCTATCAATAACGTGGGGCTTCGGGTTTTCTTTTCCGAAAGGTTTTCAATGATAAATTCAATTTCTTCAATAAATAGAGGTCTATTTGGGTTTTCATTCCTTCATAAGTATTTAGTAGTTTGTAGTTGATCTTATCTAAGTTCCTCTTTTTTCAGAGTTGTTTGTATTGTTCTCTTATTGGGTTTTAGTAAATCCTCCCTTTAACTCCTGATATTTGTAATTTGGCTTCTCTTTCTTTTTTTTAAATTGTGAATCTGGCTATTTGTTTCATTAATCTTTTCAAAGAACCAGCTTTTTTGTACAATTTCAACTCCTGTAAATTTGTTAAGGTTTGTTTCATGACCTGAAATATAGTCTGTGTTAGTGAATATTCCATATGTACCTGGAAAAGAGTTTGTATTCTGCAATTGCTGGGTAGAGTGCTTTGCAAATGTCAGATTCAGTTGGTTGATGGTAATAGTGAGTTATTCTATACTAGTAATTCTCATCTCCAGGCAATTTTGCTCCCCAGTGGACATTTGGCAATGTCAAGAGACATTATCGATTGTTATAACTAGTGGGCAGCTATTGGCAACCAGTGGGTAGAATCTCCTGGCCTTACTCTGCTAGACATTTTATGATGCACAAGACAGGTCTTCCCACAAGCCCTGTCACCACCCCATGCCTGCTGATAACAAAGAATTATCTGGTCTAAAATGTCAATAGAGCCAAGGTTGAGAAACCCTTTTCCTTGCTGATTTTCTCTCTACCTGTTCTATTGACTGCTGAGAGACAAATACTGATATCTCCAACTCTAATGGTAAATTTTTGCTTTAAATTTTATATTTTTGCTTCATTTAAATTGAAGCTTTGCTGTTTGGTACATGCATAGTTAGGATTTTTTTGTCTCATTGGTTAAATGCTCATTTTATTAATAAGTAATGATCTTCTTCAGCTAAATTTTCTTTTTCTGAAATATACTTTGCCTAATATTAATGAAGTCACTACATCCTTCTTTTAGTGTTTGCAGGGTATGTCTTTTTACATTCTTTTAGTTCAACTCACTTTTATTTATTTAAAGCAGATTTTCTTTATAGATAACATATAATTGAGTCTTTTTCTTTTGTAACCCGTGTCTTTATTAAAAGATTATGGTGTATGAGGTCACTTTCATTTAATGTAAGTATTGCTATGTTTGAATTTCAGTCTATCATTTTAATAGTTGTTTTCTGATTGCTCCCTCTGTTCCCTTTTCCTGCTTTTGTATTATTTTGCTTTCCTTCTTTTGTATTTATTTGAATTTTTAAGGTCTGTTTTATTTCCATTTATACATTTAGTTTTTTACTATTTAACGTATCTTTTTATATATTGCCCTAGTGATTGCTCTAAGGATTAAAGTATACATACTTCACAGCCTTCTTAGAATAAATCTTTCACCACTTCAAAAGCAGTATAAAACTCTTACCACCATATGGGTCTCGCTGCCTTTCCCATTATGCAATAGTTGTCATGTATGACATCTACATACCTTGACAACTGCATCACACAGTGTTATTTTTCTTTCAATCACATACATATTTTAAAGGTATTTAGAAGAGAAAAATACTCATTTACTCAGATATTTAGCATTTCCATTGCATTTCCTTTATCCCCAAAGTTCTAAGCTCCTTTTTAGTACAGTTTCCCTTTCATCTGAAGAACTTCCTTGGGCATATCTTTCACAGCAGCTGAGTTAGTGGCAAAAGCTTTTATTTTTCACCCATCTGAGAATGTCTTTATTTTGCCTTCATTTATAAAGGATACTGTTGCAGTCTGGGTTGAACACCTTCTGAAAAATGCATCCTTAGGAGATTTCATCATTGTGTGAACATCAAAGAGTGCACTTACACAAACCTAGATGGTATACCCTACTACAGATCTAGGAAGACTAGATGGTTTAGCCTATTTCTCCTAGACTGCAAACTTGTACAGCATGTTACTGTACTGAACACTATAGGCAATTGTAACACAAGAGTAAGTATTTGTGTATCTAAACATGGAAGAGGTAAAGTGAAATTACAGTATCATAATCTTATGGGACAGCTGTTGTGTATTCAATCTGTTATTGACCAAAACATCATTATGTGGCACATGACTGCACACACACACACACACATATTTTTAAAGCAGGACTTTTTACTTTTAAAAAGCACCTAGGTCTATAGTAGGCTATACCATTTAGGTTTGTGTAAATACACTCTTTGATGTTCACATAATGAAGAACTCACATCTGCCTTTAAACAGAGGCAGCTCAGGGTGAGTCCAGGGTTGCTACACAACTTTTGGAATCACTTTTCCTGAATTCCTTTCCCATTGCAATCTCTCTGACACTCTGCGACTCCCAGGAGCATCTCTTCTCTCCCGACTTGTTGGTCTTCTGGCTGGATTTTGTTTTCTAAATCTGATGCACACTTCTTGCAACTGTTTTTGCCTCTAGTGCCAAGTGGCAGTAGGGTAGAGAAAACAAAGCAAGCCCCCCGCTCTGAAGACCACAGTTTGATCAAAGAAAATGGTTCTCTTCTCCCAGTTTCTAGGTGCCTGTCTGGATGACTCCAGGGACACAGAGTGGCCTGGGATGAGACAGGAGAGAAGTAAACAAACAAGCAAACAAACAAACAAACAAAAAACAGAACACAAAACAGATTTTCCCCACTGTCTCTGAACCTTAAAACTCCCTTTCCTGTTCCTTGGACCAGAAAAAGAGGCCCTTGTTGGAAATCAGAAATCTTTCTGTCCTCATCTGGTCCAAAGTTTTGTGTTCTGTGCTGCCCTTGAGTCCAGGCCAAGGGAAATGGTTAAGCGGAGAAAAGGGAGTCCAGGAAACTTGTGTCCAGATTGGTCCTTACTTTGAGTTATGGATTTCTTCTCCAATCTGCCTGATACCATTTATCTCAGAATCCCCAGAGTGCCTCCCTGTGCATTCTGCCCAAGGCCTTACTTGCTTTCAGGAGTTTGGTGGGACCAAGTGAGCATACCCAATCTTAACTGGACTTGGACTCCACTTTGCTTATTAAGCTGCTTTATCCAATCTGGCTTCTCACAGCTGAGTGATATAAACAGTTCCATATTGATGAATATGGTGCTGGCTCTGGAAACCAGCCAATTATGCCTGAAAGTGGGGGGTCCACCATTTTTAAAGAATAGGGTCAGCTGACAAGGCCTCTGTAAATGAACATCATTGCTGCCGAGAGCTAAAAATTCTGTCGTTGGTTTACTGTGGAGACCACCATCTACCCCAGAGGGCTGTGATCCAGCAGGCCTTGCACAGGGTGGGACCCTGTGACCCTTCAGCTACGAGTGGTGATAGTGGGATCTACACTTAGCACAAGTGTGAGACAGGCTTGTACACATTTCTCTTTGACACTGAGCATTCCTGGGTGAGGAAAACCTGTGACAATATGCTTGCACAGCCTGATTGCTCAATATGCACATGCTATATGAACTTGGGTCACAATAAAAGGTGTAGGTGATAAAGTACAGAAACTGTAGAGCACCTCTCTCAGCCCATCCCTGCAGGGAACAGAGGCAATGCAACTTTGTGTCTCCCAAGGGCATACTTTTGCCTAGTTCGGGAATCTTGGTCCAAAAAAAAAAAAAAAATTTGCAAGCACGAGGCACTGAGTTGTTGAAAAGAAAATGGGTTCCCAGAACCTAACAGAGCAGAGTTGCATCCTCTTCCTGGCTGCAGACCTTCCTCACTTCTGAGCCTTGGTCTCTCTATGATGGGGTAATGCTGTGGATCTTGCTGTTGAGGTTTAGAAACAATATGTATAGCAATTTTTAATAACTAACATTAATCAAGCTATTACTATGCACTAGGCACTGTTATAAGTGCTTTATAGTATTGGGTAATTTACACTGCCTCAGAGCTCTATAAGAGCGTCTGTTTTCACAAATGAGGAAACCCAAGCACTGGGAATTTAAGAAGATTGTGAGTAGCAGAGCTGGACTTCTAAGCCAAGCATACAGAAGACAGAATCCCCATCACATCACACCGACATTCTGTTTCCCCACACTGAGGCAGTCATGGCGATTTATCAAGTGTCTGTGCAGAGGAGTTGAAGTCCATTGTGAAGGATGTGAGAGGAGGAGGGAAGGGGTAGGAGACGGAAAAGACAGCATTCTCCGTGAGCTTTGCCAGTACCCACCATCCCCCTGTGTGCTCATGAGGACACTCAAGCACTGGGAATTTAAGAAGATTGTGAGTAGCAGAGCTGGTGCACCCTGGTACCCCTGAGCTGAACAACAGGCTTTTCTGCATGACTCCTGTTGCACTGTAGCCCGGGCCTGACTAGTTCCTCTGAGCCCATGAAGGAAAGAAGGATGTGAGAAGTAGATCTTAGTACCCACACTATTCTGTAAGATCCAGGCTTCTGTTGGCTTTGAAAACTCAGCAGGCCCTCCCCGGAAACTTGTATGATAACTTAAGGAAAGCCTAGCTTTATGTGGGGGTCGAGAAACGGGCATATATCCAAGAACACATACACACACATGACTGTGGGTGGGGGCATATGGGAAAGTCCAGGACAGTGGAGGGGATTTATAGTCAGGGCCCGGCACAGCTAGGGGGACATGTAGTGTCCTTCAGGCCGACCCTGCACTTCCTATTTAAACAACCAAGAAATTAAAATCTGAAGAAGGCACATAGTTTGCTGACAATCTATGGCTAAGCTGGGTCCACTTCGCCCTGACTTCTCTCCGCCATCCTCTTTCTTGCTTTTAAAATCATTAGAGAGTGAAGCGTCATGATGTGGGGGAGCCCAGTGCCCTCTGGCATCTTCTAACCAGATGTTTTCTTATCTTTCAGCAGTTTCTCATGATTTTTCCTCACACTGATAACTATCCAATCAGAACAACAAACTTCTATCACCCACTTACTAAAAGAACATGGCTAAGGGTGGGAAAGGCCCCAAGGGCAAGAAGATTACCCTCAACGTGGCCAAGAATTGCATCAAAATCACTTTTGATGGGAGAAAGCGCCTTGACTTGAGCAAGATGGGAATTACCACCTTCCCTAAGTGCATCCTGCGCCTCAATGACGTGGATGAGCTGGACCTTAGCCGGAATCTGATCAGGAAGATCCCTGACTCCATTTCCAAGTTCCAGAACCTCCGGTGGCTGGACCTGCACAGCAACTACATCGACAAGCTGCCTGAGTCCATCGGCCAGATGACCAGCCTGCTCTATCTCAATGTCAGCAACAACCGGCTGACCAGCAACGGGCTGCCTGTGGAGCTGAACCAACTCAAGAACATCCGCACTGTGAACCTAGGCTTGAACCACCTGGACAGCGTGCCCACCACGCTGGGGGCCCTGAAGGAGCTCCACGAGGTAGGGCTCCATGACAACCTGCTGAACACCATCCCCACGAGTATCTCCAAGCTCCCGAAGCTGAAAAAGCTCAACACAAAGCGGAACCCCTTTCCAAAGCCAGACGAGTCGGAAACGTTCATAGACTCCATCAGGAGGCTGGAGAATTTGTATCTGGTGGAGGAGAAGGATCTGTGTGCAGCATGCCTGAGAAAATGCCAAAATGCCCGGGACAAGCTGAATAGAATAAAGACCATGGCCATGACAACGCCGAGAAAGGCCATCTTTTCCAACCTGATCTTACCCAATTCCACGGCCAAGGAGTCCCAGGAAGACTGGAGGTGACTGGGACCCTGACCCTAAGGCAGGAGGGGAAGAGAGATGGAGGGAAGGGGGCAGTGGGCTGCATCCACAGGAAACCAAGGCTCCCCTGTGACTGCAACAGCTCTTCCAGCCAAGCCCATAAAGCTCCTTTCCCTACTTCCTTGGTGTGTGATTGTGTTGATTGAAGGGCTTTCAGTTCCTTGCCATTGCACACATTTCTCTCTCCTCTGCACAAGCACTCACAAGTACAGGCACAGTGAGTCAGGAAGGGGCTATCCATGTTCGTCCTACTCTTGTCCCCAGAGTTCTATGGCCTACTGCTGTCTGGGCAGCTAATGCTGCCACACATTGACTATTGCTGGCATTTCAGAACCAACCACCAGCTCCCAAATGTGGAGCTATTTACTGGAAATGGTTTAGGTCTGGGATTCAAAGGCAGGAAATCTCAGAGCATGAGTTTGTAAGAGAGTAGATGAGTACTGGGTCTTGGGTAAGGAACAAAGATGGGCCACAGAAATGGGCAGGTTTTATCATTAAGACATCAATAGGCAGAAAGCCTCTTGGCCCAAAGCAATGCTTTCTCTCTGAACTGAGCTTGTATAACTTCCTTTAGGAGCTTTCTTGACGAAACCTGCAGACCTCTGACTGGCTGTGAATTAATGAAGTCACACTCCCATCCCATTACATTCATCATTTTTCCAGACCCTCATGGGAGGAAGGAAAGAATGGGGGCAGGTATGGGTTGGTGCATTCAGTAAATCAACACCTTACTTGGCACCATGCTAGGTGCAGGGGCCATGTCCAGCTGGGGAAAGTTTGGCTTGCCTGGTGCAAGCTGAAAGGAGAGAGCAGCTGAAAGGAGATGGGCAGAGCACCATTGTCTGAGGAACTTGGGGGATCAGGATCGAGGATGTGCAGGGCTGGCCTGGCAGAGAGAGAAGTCCAAGATTCTGAGGTTGGACAGATCTAGGTCCAGGGCAGCTTTGCTTTTGACTTGGCATCCCCTTGGACACCTAACATAGCTTTGGTCCCCTTATCCATGAAGTGGGAATAATGCCATACCTAACTAATTCCAAGGGTTCTGTGCCTCTAAAACAGGCAGCACATGGAGAACGTACTCAGCAGAAGCCAGCGCTCTTCTAGAATCGTAACTTGGTTCATTTCAAAGCCAAAATACTACTTCGAAATACTACTACTACACACTAGATATTTTGATAGAAAATGACAGCAGTCAAGTCAATCCTCACAATAGCTGATAACCTTCTCTGACCTCACTATGTACCACATTCTCATATCTTCACGTGCGTAAAAGAAAAGAATCAAGAGTGATACCTTGAGGGAGACTTTGTTTTCCCACAAGACTTTCCTATGTTGGTGGAAAGTTTGCTGAGTGGATGGCGAGAAGCACTGAGAGGCATCCGTCAGTGACGTGGGATTAACTATCTTCCTCCTCACACTGTCAGCCACAGCAGACGGCACACTTCACTTCTTCACTCCTTGCTGCTTACTTCCTCTGTGATGCTTAGCTATGACAACCCTATCATAGTTCTAAAACCTTGGGAGATCTAGGTTCAACATTTTCACTTTAGTTTTTCCCTTTATTGTTTTTCACTGTAGAAGTAACAGAACCCCAACACACTATTAAATATAGTAGATTAAAGCATCCATCATTCTACAGGGTAAGCCAATTATAGCACTTCCGTCATTTGTGTCCTGCTTTGAGACCCATGCTCTTACCTCGTGTTAATAACCACACTTTAAAACGTCTGCAAGATAGTATTCTTGTGGATACACATAACTATAAGTTACTGTTGAGCCTTTAAGTTATTTACAGTTTTTCACTAATGGGAATGGTCTTGTGATGAGAGCCTGTATAACTAAAACATTTAAAATTATTTTGAATTATTTCCTTGGCATAGCTTCATTATTGGAAATATCATGTTAAAGGGTGAGTTTTAACAATAATGTTTATATATGCCATCAAGTAGCTCATAAAAGGTTTACCCATATTTATATGCCTGCCAGTAATGTAGCAGACAACCCATTTCACAGCATCCTTGCCACCACTGAGCACTGTCCTTCACATTTTTATTTTCACTTAATGTCTGAAATGACTCATGAGAAGCCCTTCTGAAGCTGAGGGGAGCAACCGTGCCTGAGACATGTGTGATGAGTCGCCATGCTGTAGGTACAGGAGCCACCACTAGCCTGCCGGGCCCTGGGCATGTCCACAGGAGAGCCAGTCTGCTATTGCAGTCACTTCTCCTCTGATCCAAATGGGATGGAGTCCAAGCAGAGCTATACGATCAAGATAGAGAGTGCTGGAGAGCTACATGATGACTTCCCAACACTTTTTATTTAGAATTAATTTTCCCTCCTTAGGTATTCAAAAGGATCAGCAAAGGAGAGAAGTTAAGAGAAACATCAAGGTTACAGATCCCACGTGGTGCCCAGGGTGTGCCGGTGCACGCCCTCCCGCCCCTGCCGCAGCACACTCCTTGCTGTGCTGGGTCCTCGACACCCTTCCTTGCTGCCAACTGCTTGGCTGGCCTGACCCTCCAGCCTTGCCCTGGGGTTTTATCATACTTTCCCTCTTATCATACATCTGAGGAAAGCATTTCAAGGGCATTTAACTTCACCAGGATTCAGACATACACAGGCAGTGGGCTAGATTTGCCTCAGAACGCGTTCAAGTCAGACACCTCTTTAGCCAGGAAATGCTGGCAGCGGGATGAAGCTGACTGGAGACAGAGGCCAGTCAGGAGGCGTCTTCTGCACTCTATTTCCTTTACTGCCAAGGAAAAGGTTTGATGTTGGTGCTCCTTCATGCTCTAAAATACCTCAGTCACCTTTACTTCTTGGAAATTGTATTAAGCATAAAGATACTTCATAGGAAAGCCTTGGGGGTTCTCTTTCCTCAAATAGAACAAAATCCCTATTCACACTACCTTGACCATCCTGAAAGCCAGGCATCACCTTGGTGAGCTGGCCTGACCTCTGCCCTTTCTGTGTTTGCCCCTGTGGCCTGGAGCAATTACCTCAGCTTTTGTATCTCCATCCCCAGGATACACTCAACATCTGCCTAGAGTAGCTATGGCACAAACTTGAAGACTACTCGTAACAGAATAAATAACTCTGAAGAGGAGAAGCCCCCAGTTAGCAGAAGACAGAGTGGCAAGTGGAATCTTCTGGAGAGCGGGCTCGCCGGAGCTGGCTAAGCCAATGACTTGCTTCTCAAATTTACTTCACCTCCCTTGGCTTTAGCCCACCTGTGTGTAAAAATGACTTTAGGAAATAGTTGATGTGGTTTTTAAAATGAATATAGAGAAAAAAAATTAAGAAAACTATAGATTACATATTATAGATAATTATCTAAGACTTTAAGACTTTCGTTCCATATTTGTATTATCCTTCTCCCACAGTGCAAATCTGCATTACAAACATCACTGAATTTACTCACTTGCTGAATCCTACAATAGATACAATGCAGTACTGGAATTGCTATGACAACACCACCAACAACAAATGAAGAAGTTCAAAATTCCTTTGCCATTCTTCTCCTTTAGAATATATCCCATTCAGGGTGTTATAATCCAAAAGCTGTATTCAAAATCACTTGAATCATTTTTTTTCTCTCTGTGTAATTATATAATCTAGTTTGCATACAGTTAAGTGTGTCTGTTTGTATTTACTTTTGTGTTCCTTCCATTCTTGCTTTTTACTGTTTTTTCAATATATGAAACATTAACATCCTTCGAAAGTAGAAAAAAAAAAAGCCTTTAAGACTTAAAAGGCTTACTGCCTCTACATTTCACTCAGCCTGGTACATCTCAATGCCAGTAGTCTGTGATAAGTTACATAGGCATCATGAGATACTGATATGGTTTGGGCATTTGTCCCCGCCAAACCTCATGTTGAGATTTGAGTCTCAACGTTAGGAGGTGTTTGGGTCATGCGGAGGGATCCCTCATGAATGGCCGGGTGCCATCCTCTTGATAATGAGTGAGTTCTCGCTGTATTAGATCCTGTTGAAAACTGATTGTTAAAAAGAGCTTGGCACCTTCCTCTTCTATCTCTCTTTCTTCCTGTCACCATGTGATGCCTTTTCCCCTTCATCTTCCACCATCAGTGGAAGCCCCTATACCCGCACCAGAAGGCAATGCTGGCGCAATGCTTCCTGTACAGCCTGCAAGAACCATGACCCAAATAAACTTCTTTAGTTATAAATTGCTTAGTGTCAAGTATTCCTTTGTAACAATGCAAATGGATTAAGACAGACACCTCAGGCAACTCCAATTTATACAAAAAGTTATATAGAAAAATATGCTGAAAATACTACAGATAAAGTAGAATTTATCAAATATTTCAGTGGTACATAGGTAGGCAGGAAAAAGAAAACAGAGAAATGAACAACAGGAAAAAACAGAAAACAAAAAATAAAATGGCAGACTTGTATTCTAATATTTTGATTATTACAATAAATGTAAATGATCTGCTTTATTTGTAATGACCACAAAATGGAAACAACCAAATATTGCTCAATGCACAAATTGTTAAACAAACTCTGGTATATTCCTATCATGGAATACTACTCAGCAATAAAAAGGAACAGACCATTGGTACACACAAGGACTTGAATGTATCTCAATGGCACTATTAGCAAAGAAAAAATGTCCATCTGCAAAAGTCACTTAATGTATGATTCCATATACAGAACAGTCTCTAAATGATAAAATAATATACATCAAAAACAGATTCATGATTCTCAGGATTTAAGGATGGTGGGGGAAGACAGGGGCAGGCATGACTGTAAAGTGGTAGCACAGAGGTATCTTTGTGGTGATAAAATAACTGTGTATGCCGATAGTGATGGTAGTTACTCAAATCTATACGTGATAACATGACAAAGAACTATGCATATACATGTACCAGTGTCAATGTCCTGGTTCTGAAATTGTACTATGGTTATGTAAAATGTAACCATGGTGAGGGGGATATTAAGTGAAAGATGTATGGAGCCTCTCTACTATTTTTGCAACTGTGAATCAATATTTTGAAATAAAAATTAAAAAAAAAAACAATCTTACAGCCTAAATGTAACAACAATCAACAATCAACAGATCCTTATGCATCTGCCCAGTGCTGATTTATGAGGCCCTATGGCAAGCTTAAAGTGAGAATCGGACACGCCGAGTCAGCCTAGAGATGCAATTCAGGCACAGAGTAAGGGAATTCAGGCACCTTAACCTCGGCTCACCTGACTAATCTAAAATTAGCCATTGTTGATCTTATTCTTGCAGATTCCTGAAAGTGTTGCTAAAATAAATAGAAACTGCATGTATTCTCTATGTCCCAGGTTTTCTGGAGGTAGCTGGACATAGGTGGCAACTAGGATGGGGAAAACCTTGAATCAGTGGGTTGCTCATTGCCATTCCAGCAATGTGGCTGGGTGGAACTGGAAGGAAAGGGGGCAGGCTTGCTGCAGAGACTGGGGCTTGCATCAGGCTTTTGCCCTGGAAGGATCTGAGGTTACGGCTAAGGATATAGCAGAGACGAGGCATGAACCTAGTACAGCCAGACAAAGATGAATGTGGAATGGGGCCAGGGCCAAGGTCTAAGCATGACCTAGGCAGAATGGCCAGGTCTCGGATGCCCATGGCCCACGGAGCCAACTGTGTGGACAAGCTCCTAGACACTGCAGCACTGGCTGTCACTCTCATTTTGAGTTTGCAGCCAGGTGCTGTTCAGCTCTGGTTCCAGTGACTCCACTCTCGACACAGAATATGAGTAGTTTGATCTCCACAGTTGCACTCCCAGGGCTTTACTTCAGCAAGAAACCCAAGGACCATGCTTCTCCGCTCAGTGGTGGAGCCGGCACTACCTTTGCCAGTTAAGCAACTGTGTACCTTACAGACCTGTAGCCAACGGCATGAATCTCTAGGGGGCAAGAGTGAAGGAGGAGAAACGCTAGGGCAGGGAACTTGAGCTTTAGCTTCCTCACAGCTAACTGTGGTGTCTCTGGGGTGCGGTTAATTATCACAGAAGACCATATTCTGATGGGAATTGCGCAGGTTCTTATGGTTGGTTTTCTAAATTCTTTGTCTTTCATTATTTTTCAAAGAAAATCTCTAAAGAAAACAATAAACTGAAAATGTTCAGCTGTAAAACTTTGCATCCCCAAAAGAATTTCATCCTAAACATTATATATAAAGAGTGTACACAACTAAGAAATGATTTCGGCAACTGCAAATACTCAGGTACAATCAGGCCCTGAATATAAGCACCACCTCACACCCAAAAGATTTCTCCAGCGGGGACACTTTTGCCTCAGTGATACGGATGTTTCAGTTTATCCAAAAATATGTGCTGAGCCCAAGAGAGATTTGAGGAAAAGAGAACCAGACAGGCATCCCAGCCTTGTATTTCTCTGAGTGTTTTAAACTCTGGGCTCAGTATGAACTGAGGTCATTAGAAAGCAATGTAACTGAGACAGGTTATGTTAGCTTCCCAAAGAAATGCCTGTACAAAAATAAGTTCAAATGATAGGCTCCTGTTCCTGCAGAGAACTGATACAGAGAATTATATTTCCCATCACTCTTTTTTGTATATTTTATTAAAAAGGAATCACCACCACTGGTACCCACAATTCCTTACAGAAGAACCAAATTTGCTATTCAGCACAAAAAGAAAGTATGTTCCAGAAAAAAAAAAAATTCGCAAAAGCCTGTTTCTTATTATCTATCCTTGGAAAATAGTATAAGCCAACATGATTGTTTGTTTTACTTTTCTTAGTCTCAGGACAATTAGAGTAACTAAATCACTCCAAATGATCACATCTATTTTTTCCCTTTTAAAGGAGTGTTGGGTTGTTAAAGGATGGTTGTACCCTGTTTAATTTTGAAGCTGTCTGTAGCCCTTTATGGAAGGGCATGAGTACATTTCAGTGTGAGGATGTGTGTTTATCCACAAGTGCATTCCAGCTAGCTGCCCCCTTTCCCAGCAGCTCCTGCCTTCGTTTCTCCTTTTCTGATTGGTCCTCTCACATCTTAAAGATCCTGCCTATATTCAACACCACAGAGCAGGACTCATCCAGCAGCTCTAGCTGGCATATGTTAAAAGGCCCTGTCGGCCTGCAGAACCTTGCACCCCACAGAAGTCTGAACAGGCTGCCATGCTGTCTTCAAATGGTTCAGTCCTGTACCATGGGGACAGGATTCATGCAGACTTTGCAAGTATTTTCCACTTGGAATCCAGGCTCAGAGAGCCTCCTTAGTATATATACAGTTATGAAGGCAGCCATTGTCACCAAAAGCCTCAGCAAAACTCTGACACCAAAAGCTCTGGCTTCTGTACATGTGGAATGGTGTCCAAAGGAGCCATATGGGTTATCGAAAGCTGAGGTTCAGGACACGAAAATCTGTAGCCTAGGCCAAGAGTCATGACTCTGTTGAAAATGCTTAGAATGGCACACACACCTCCTTTATAGGTAAGAAGTCCACATTCACTAGAGTGACTAACAAGTAGCTAGGCATTTTTCAAGACTCATTCTATGATTATTGCCCCCAGCTATCAAAAGAAAAATAATCAGCTTCATTCCAGGCACATGGCAGTAGCCAGCCAAGCCCTCCTAAAGCTGAGGGCTACCACTGCCTTCCCACCCTAGAGTTCCTGAAGCCACAATTGGGCTGGCAAGAGAAGGGCTGGAGAGGGGGGCACCCTGAGGAGCTGAGAGCAAGGAGAGCCACCTGCTTTTAATCAGTTGTTCTGTTAACAGGCCCAAACACACATCAGGTGATTCTAAAACCAGGATGAAGGATTACAATTTATTGGGCACCTACTACAAGCCCAAGTCAGCTTGATCCTGAAGCCCAGGGCTGACTGTTTATTTAGCACAATCTCACCACATCCCCTCGCTGCATGGGTGGCCTCAGAGCCTAGGGCTGGGACTCTGTGGGGTGTCCGCATTTCACTCAGGTTCTCCTTCCATGAGCTGAGACGAGCATTCCTCTGGAGCACCATGTACTTTCCCTAGTTGACTCCAGAAGCTTCCCCAAAGGTCTCCAACCTGGAGCTGTGCTGAGACTGTGTCCAGCGTGACCCAGCATAGCCCTGGAAGACCCTTCTCCAGTGGGATCAGGTAGCCATGATGGCAAAAATAATCACAATGGAAATAAAATCAGAATGGAGCTCAACTGTCCCACAGAAGCAAGCTAGTACACAGGGCGGCACTGCAGGTCATCATCAACCTGTGGATGAGTAAGGAGTCATCTCCAGACATCTGACTCATTCACAGAGCATCATCTTCCTCCAACCTGACAATCATTTCTGAGGGGCCTCCAACTTAGTGGACACATCTGGGGGTGAGCAGCTCTTCTGCATTCCTCCCTCTGCCCCTCCTCTACCTGCCCATCTCTATTTGGAGTAGAGGGTATGTGGAGGAAGGTATGTGTTTCCGGGAAAGGCATCACTAAGACTCTGAGGACAAAGGACAAAGAATGGACAGAGGGCTACCCATAGTCATAGGGACAGCTGTGTTGTCGCTGAGTGACATTACAGAATAGGTTCATCCAAGGGTGAGCTGCAGAGACAACAGGGCCCAGTGAAGTGGTGTGTGTCACAGTTGACACAGCCTTGCTCCAGGGAGAGAGAAAGCCATGTGCAACCCATGAGTGCTGTGGCATGGAACTTCCTTCTGCATGGAGCTGTGAGTAGACCTGCTTTTGTTGACACCTCAGTGCTCACCTCCTTGTGGATAACAGAACCTTGATTCTCTCAAAGAACCACAATCCCCTCAATTTGGTCTATGTAGTTGGGTGAGACTGACCCTAACCCCAGAAGCTGGGTGGGCGCATCTCTCTTACCCGGCCAATGAAAACATTTGATTGGTTCTGGGATTCTGGGATGGGCATGTAATTAACCTAACTTGCGAAAATGGCAGTTTGGAAAGTTTCGCTAAAATTACCGGGATAGAGCATGTGTGGTGTGTGCTGGGATTCCTGTATGATTGACTGTCAGTCTGTAGCTGTGGGAGCATGCATGCCCCTGTGCTGAGAATGTCTACTGAGAATGGAGCCCGTCCAAGCAAAATCTTCCCTGAGAGAGGGAGAGCCGCCACTTTCTGCAGACTCATTCTGCCTAGAGGTCCAGCCATGCCTGCAGCCAGATCACTTTTGACCCTCATGTAGATGTGATCATGAATCCTCTTTTTTTGCTTCAATTAGTTTGAAATAGCTTCTACCTTGCACTGAATAGTGCTAAGAAATCTAAGTGGGAACATAAAGGCTTATATGGAACATAAACAATATGAGATCAGCAGCACTGAGATTCAGCAGATATGCACAATTAGGACTATCCTGTTGTTAATTATTGAACTATGCCCATTACAGTTGTTAAACAGCCATCCCAACTGCAGCGACCCACTGTGGCCCGGGTCCCCTGGATCATACCCTGGCATGCCTTGGACTCCACCACAATCTATAAACCAAAGGGTAAGTGCCTGGCACAATAGGAGCCTCTGCTGGCAGCCTCTGCAACAGGTCTATTGAAGGTCATCAATGACTCTTAGGTTTCAAAGCTCAATGGTCATTTCTCAGTTCTTATCCCACTTGGCTTATCAACAATACTTGACCACTCCCACCTTGAATCACTCTACCTGGCTTCCAGGACATCTTTCACACCTGCAGTTTCTACTACCTTTCTGGCTACTTCTCCATTTCTTCAGCTGGCCCTGCCCATGTCCTTACCCTCTAAAGGTTGGTGTGCCCAGGGCACAGTCCTCTGACCTCTTTGCCACGTGCATGCATTCTTGATAATCTTACCCACTCTCATGACTTTAAACACTATTCCAAATTTATGTCTCACCTGAACCTCTCTCTTGAAGCCCAAATTCATATGCCCAATAGCCATCATGATGCCTCCACCTGGATGTATGATAGGCATGTCGAAATTCACATGTGGCCCTACAGCCACTCTTCCTGTGATCATACTGGTTTAATTTTCCAATTGCTGAAGCATAAATTCTCCATCTTAGTCCTCTCTCTCATGCATGCATTTCCTGCACTTGATTTGTCATCATATCCTATCAAATGTATCTTTAAACATGTCCATCATCTGATCACATCACACCATCTTTGCTGTCATGTTCCTGATCCAAGCCACCATCCTCTCTCACCTGGATTACTGCAATGGCCTCCAGCAACAGCTTCCTAACTAGTCTCCAGCTTCTGCCTTTGACCCACCACAGACTACTCTTGGCACAGCAGCCAGAGTGATTCTTATCAATATGTCGGTTCACGTCATCCCTGCTCAAAACCCTCCAATGCTTCCTGTCTATTTGAAATAATAATAACACCATAATCTTGCACCAACTACCCTCTGTGACCTCCCTCACCTCCACCCCAACTAACTCCCTGCACTCCACTTTTACAGGCCTCAGCCACGCCCTGCTCTTCCCTGGGTCTAACACATTCTTTTCTCAGTTAGTTGCATAACTTTTTCTCCACTTTGCCCAAGTCTTAATTCAAAGAGTATTTCCTTGATAAGGGCTTCACTTGCCACCTCATCTAAGATTTCAGTGCCTACCTCTATCTGCTTGGTTTTTTACACTTACACTTATAATTATCTAATATTCTTTATGGTTCACTCATTTATATTGGTTTATGTCTATCCTCATGAAAATGTGAATTCAATAAGGACAGGAGACTTTTATTTTTTACTATTTTGCTTGTTCTGTCAAGCAGCAAATACCAGGTATTGCACACTATTGATAAATGATTTTGAAGGAATTGGCGAGACCCATTTTATACTGATTGTAAATATCTTGAATGTCATTCCTGGGATTCCCTCTTGCTTGGCCCCCACAGATTCCTGGAGAAAACCAGCAACCATCTTTTTCTATTCTCACCCCTAAATGAAATAAAAATACCGACTGATCTCTAAGTGGACTTCAGAGAACTGGGTAGCTGTAAGAAGGACCTGGGGGAGGGCCAAGCAATCTGTTCACTGGGAGAGATGCCCCATGACAGAGATGCCTAAATTAACGTCTGATTTGTACACCACCATATATGAAGTTAGCTTCTAAGCATTCAGAAACCCTCATCACAGGAGGAACAGCCCTGGGGTTGCTCACACACCCCCACGGGAGGGCCTGACCTCCAAGGTTGTGCCTGACTCCACACCTCTGTGCCACCTGCCCAGTCACCATAGGCAGAGGGTGGTTTCCTGCCATTTAGGTCTGAAAAAGCCACAGAGCATGTGGGACTTCAAGTCTGTTCACAAAGGTTTAACTGGCAGAAGGAATTTCAGGAGTAGGATGAAGGATGTACAGGAATAGGAGACAGAAAAATCAGGGAAACAGATGGGCATGCTCTTGGCAGGACTTCTTTAGAGAAGGAGGAGGTGAGGAGAAACATCAAAGCCAAGGCAGTGCCATGCCCAGAGAGCATGGCTGCCCGCCATTACCTTAGATTGAGGGGGTCCTCAGAGGCAGTTTTCCCCTTCAGACTGGGTTGGAAAGAGCAGAAGCTGCATGAAAAGGGAAGGGATAATTCCATCAGCAGAGTCAGGTAGGAATTCCAACATTAATTCCAATGAGCCAGGCAGGAAGCTTGGCTCATTCTTGCTCCCCCACACTCCGCCCTGCCCCCAGGTTATGAACACGAGGCCTGGGTGTACCTCTAGGCATCCCTCAGCACTCTCTGGCATTACACACTATTGCCTTAATACCAACAGTGACAACGATAAAACAATAATTACTTAGGCAGTGTGAGTGAGGTACCTCCTCTGGGCCAGGCCCTTGACAACATTGCCAATGTCAACAACCCTGCCGTACATTCCAGTGTGTCGCTGTGGGGACAAATGCCATCTTAATGCCAGGTTCCTTGAGCTGAGTGGGTAGTGGTTGTTGAGCTTGCATTAGGCCACATTCACACCCTGAGCTGTGGAGGTGTGAGGTTTCTAAATCAACTGTGAAAAACCTTGTTTAATGAACAGAAATCATAGGGGGAAATGAATAGAGTTTAATGGGTTGCATGTCTGCTTATTTGGTTTGGTCTAAACTAGACCTTGAAGACAATTTTAGGGGGCAATCTGACAGCAGCTTGGAAGAACTGCATGGGAAGGCTCACCTGAGTCCAAGGAGGTGCGCCTAGAACTGGCACAAAAGCCTCTCTACAGGTTGTTTTTCTCCACCCTGGCCCTGCCTCTTGGATGCAGTAGCAGACTTTGGTGCCAGTTCCATAGGGCCACCAAGAAGGTAGGGCTTGAACTTCTGAGCACAAAATGGGCTTCCAGGCCGGGGGATGTCAAATGTCTCCTCGGAACTTCCAGCCCACGTGGAGCAGCTCATAACCACTCCCTCCGTTAATCAGCCTCTCTGTTCGCTATCACGATGAGGAACTGACCTTCCTGCCTTCTTTCTAGATTCTCTACAAACCAATCTACTGATCTATAACTTTACTGATAATAAAACAAATAACTGTGGTATTAAGAACTTACTTACACACTGGCTTAGATTTCTTAAATTGATCCATCTGGAGAAAGAGAAGTTAACTAAAACAGCAGGCTTCTCTCTTTAAGAAAAACATGTTCAGTGCACATGTGGGAAATCAGTTGTTTGGAATTCCTTCCAATGAAATACGAAATTGGAGCAACTAAAATTGGCAACTGGGATCAAAAAGAAAGATTAAGCCAAAAAAATTACTTGGAAAATTAGAAAATAAAGCTAGAACATTCTGGAAGGCCCATTAAACAGCCAGTTTCTTAACTCTGTTGTAGCTGTGTGATTTTTTTTTCCCCCTTCAGTCTTCCTGTTCTATGCCACTTCAGTTCAGGATAATGGAGTCTGCTTTCTAGATCCGAAACAAGGACCTTCTCTGTTACCGTACCTCCCTTCATGAGTTGGCAGTTCTGCAGGCTAGCAGTGCCTCCCTGGGCCCAGCCTGAGTGGCGCTCGCTGTGGGTTGAAAACACTTTTCCTGAGCACAGAGATGATTGCTCTCTGCCCCTCTGCTCTCAGTTCAGGATCAGTTTTCTCAGAATGAAGATTTTCAAGCCCTTACCTTTTAAAGACCTTACTCCGATCACTGTTGTAGAAGACAAGAAACTTGGAATATCCATTGTGGAAGAAGATCTCCAGGGCAATGTCCTGTGAAGAGAAGCCCCTTTTAATGTCCTGATATTTTGTGGACTAGAGATGCTCCAGGGTGGCAGAGCTGCTGGAAATGGGCCATTGGGGGTCTCTGTGTCAGGTCACCCTTCCTGGGTAGTCCTTCTGAGCTCCCATGGGTGGCAAGACCTTGATAACAGGGATAGGGTGCTTCTGCAGAATGTGTGGGAGGGCTGGGGACATGACCACAGCTCCAAGTTCCTTTGAAGCAGGAAGCAAAAGGCCCACTTCCAGGGTAAGCATGAGGCAGACATGGGAGAAAGCACCCATGCCAGCCTCAGACACTTTCACCTCTGAGTTATGGGTTTGGTTTCCTGAGCCAGAAGTCACCTTACCAGAAACACTAGGGGAGCTAGTTTGGTGGGTGCCGCTGGACAGCCTCATGAGCTGATCTATAGATGCAGCACTCTGCCCAGGGCACTCTGCCCAGGCCATTTAAGCAGCACAGGGTGCTCTGCCCAGGCCATTTTGATGTGGCTCCACTGGCATAGTAAGGTTTTTATTAGGGGTACTTCCTTAATGCCTAATTAAAATTCACATAATTATTTTTTTTCTTTGTTTTTCTGTCATCTTATTTCCTCTCTAACTCCTTTCTAGTTTAAGCTATGTAAATAACAGATTTGGAATAAGAAAGAGACTGAGTCACCTATGGGACAAGCCTCAGGGATGAGATGAGGCCAAGGAGAGAGAATTTCCAGGGATGAAAGGAGGGTCAGGGAGGGGTGAGACTGGACATGGAGGGAGGGTGGAGTGGGCTAAGGGTCAGACTCAGAGGTGGGTACTGCATCCAATAATGGAGTACTGCCCTGCATCTACTTGGCTGGAAGTGAGTTCTCAAAGTCAAGTTCATTAATTCTCCTGAGCAGAAGGAAGGTATGTGCAAGGATGTTGCAAACTTCCTGTCCTCTGCTAGTGGGCAGGAGAGGCTTGGATTTTTTTCTACAAATAGAAATATAAATAATGTGGAAAACAGGAAGTGAATGCAGAATTTGTGGAGGGTACAGCTTGCCCTGGATGCCTGGAGTGCCAAGCTCTGCCCTTCTCCTGGGAGAATCCAGAGATGGACAAATGATGGCCTTGCTCATAAAGCTCTCCCCTTGGCTTCTACCACTTCAGTGAACCAATCCTCTGGAAACAATCACCATGTACTAGGGGAAAAAACCCAACTGACTGATACTTATAACTTATAGAGTACTGTATAACATTTAAGGTAGACATATAATCACAACAAATAATTTTGAGTACCTACTTTGTACCTATAATTATACTCAAGGCTGTATGCATAATAGTGGGAAAGGAAGGATGTGACCTCCTGCTCACTGGAGGGAAAGGAAACCAGAGAGGTGCCCACAGGAGCTAACGTGGCAGAGCTGAGGTGGAGACAAAGCCCAGACCCAGCAGCACTGAACCATCAGGGCAGGGTTGCTGCTTCCACTCTGCCCTTCCAGCTTCCTCACCCTGCAAGGGTGCTCAGGAAGCTCAGGCAAAAAGAACCGTGTTGCAGGGAAAAGCAGCAGAGGAAGGAAGAGTGCTCATGAGAGGGCTGAGCAAGCTGCTGGCAAACCTTTGACAGCATGGCAGCTGGGACCTTTCAGAAATCCACTCTTCCCCTTTAAAGGCCCCCCCTGAGCTTCAGTTTCTTTTTCTTTATCCTTTTTTTTTTTTTTTTTTTTTGAAATAGAGTCTCTCTGTTGCCCAGGCTGGAGTGGAGTGGCACAATGTCAGGTTCAAGCAGCTTTCCTGCCTCAGCCTCCCGAGTAGCTGGGACTACAGGCATGCACCACCATGCCTGGCTAATGTTTGTATTTTTTTGTTTTAGTAAAGACAGTGTTTCACTATGTTGGCCAGGCTGATGTCGAACTCCTGACCTTGTGATCTGCCCCTCAGCCTCCCAAAGTGCTGGGATTACAGGCATGAGCCACCACACCCAGTGCTCATGCTTTGGTTTCAGAGAATGATAATGAGACCTCTTGCAGGAAGGGTCACTGGACGAATCAACGACGTACCTACAGAAAATAGATTTACAAATGAAGACATCTAGTTCATCTAGGCTAAGCACTGCTCCCTTGCTGGTCTTTGGAACTAACGGTGACCCTTCAGAGAGGGTGGAAAGGGATCCTGCCCCTCCTGTCACATGGTCCCTTAGATCCTCTTTTCTGCCAGCTATCCTGGTGGCCCAGGGGATGGGGATGCAGCTTTGCTATTGCTGAGCTTGGGATGATGAAGGCAAGGTGTGTTTGAGGTCGCTGGAGGCCCCTCAAGTTTACCCTGCTCCCTTTGCTGCTCAGGTGATGTTTCTAGAAAGTGTGATCTACAAGTAAGGTGAGATGAGAAGCAGGAGGTTATGACCAGCTATGGCTGAGCTCCTCCTCTGAAAGCAGCCACCATCTCTGTTGCATGCCTGGCTAAGCCCTTGAAGGCAGTGGGTGAGACGCTAAAAAGCTCTGGTTGAAAGTGGCAGCTGGGAGATCCCTAAACCACTTGGCCCCATAAACAGGGCCAAGCAGGAGCTTGGCGATAAGTGAGCACCTTGGGGAGATGGGGAGAGTATGTCACAAGGGAGGTCTTGCACCTGTGGGCAGGGCAGGGCAGAGGGCACTCCACTCCCAGTCATCAACTCTACTGGGAGGCAATGCATCTGCCCTGCCCTGTATTCTTAAATCTCCAAGGCAGCTCTGGGCTATGTCAAGATCAAAACAGTGAAGCAGCTGAATCCTACAAGACACAGTGAAAGGCCCAACAGCCAATGGCAGGGACTAGGGACTGGAGAGAGTGGGCAGAAGTCAGAACTCCCACCTGGGACCAGGGCCAACATAAGCCCAGGGAACTCCCGGATGTCTCCTGAAGGGCACTGGGCTGTGCACAGGCACAAAGATGAGTCACAGAGGCGTGTCTCTGGATGGCTTCTGGACCACCTGTCCCATGACCCTGCCTCTCGCCGGCCCCAGGAGGGCCAGTATGCAGTGTGCTTACCTGCAGGAGGAAGCGAGCCTGTCGTAGCTCCCGCACATCAGCATAACCATGGCGCTGGCATGAGTAATGGTCAGAGGACCTGTCTTTGCTGCACAGGTTGAAAATGAATGGATCGCTGATGCTGAAAAGGAAACAGCCATGCAGGGCACATGTTCAGACATCAGAGTGAGGACACGTGCAGGCTTCTTCCTCTTCCTGCCCTCCACCAGCCCCACCCACATTTCCAAGGACATATCAGAGGGATGCGGCGGTCACTGCCAATCAGTGTGCTAGTCCCGCTCATCTGAGAAATCCTTGCTGAGTGCTTGCCCATGT